TACAAAGTTAACAACGTTAGTTGAGTTACAAAAGTCTCTTTTGCTCCACGTTGGCCACCAACGAGCGATTTTCAAGATTTTTGTGAAATTTTGCTGGTTTTGAATTTGAATTTTCTATCCTCGATAGTTGATGCTCAGCAAGAACCACGGGAAGGTCTGGAGCAGATCTCGCTAGGAAAGGAGAGGGCTAGGATTTGTTATTGAGGGATAGAACGTTATACAGTACAATACAATGGAAATACAATACAGGTACCTACAATCTAACTACAATACAGAATACACTACAGATACAGATACAATTCAGATACAATACAAATGCAAAGTTAGTAGCCAATACACCACCGGAAGAAATTGCACCAAAAATTGAGAATGTTGCAAAATGAAAACCCAAGCAAGCACACCCATGGAACTTGGAACGAAATCTATTGGTCGCAGCGCTCACACGCCCAAGGGAGAAGGCAGCCGCATAAATCCAAGGCCGACTGACCTCATCCTTATAGGAGATGCGACCCAGCGTCTAAGGGCCAACAGACCCCCCCAGGCCAAAGCGTCTGACGACATGGAGAATTCAGTCCCGGAACCAAAGAATGCACTGTTGCAAAATTAAAACCCAAGCAAATGCACCATGAAAACAAAGCATTTGCACCACTGGAGCTAAATTGGCAAGACCCAAGTTAAGTTAGTAACACATACAATATACAGTACAAAATGCTTCAATTACAAAAGTTACAATATACAAATTTCTCCACGTTTGCCACCAAAGAGCGATGACTTTGCTCGCTCGTTGCTGTTGCCCAGCAAGAACCAAACAATACGAGGAGGTCTGGAGTGCGTCTTGCCATTAAAAGAGAGGACTAAGGTTTGATAGCATGGGTGAAGGACACAGTATTTTGTAAATTTGGACGCCGTACTTTAAAAATGATGACTACGGTATTTTGTGAATTATGAACGCAGTACTTTGTATGTTCTAAAGGCGTACTTTATCAGTCCTGAATGCATGTTATTAACAACATATTTAAAAAAAAATCGGGCATTTTTGGAAAAATCTCCACTTTCCTTCGTGTTCACAGCACTTAACACAAAACATTTCGCTAATATTTATTAACAATAAATTAGAAATTCGCGAACACGTGCTACTTTTAACCCAAAACGAAGCTCCAATGTTGCTGCTACCAGACCGGAATCAAAACTAAACGCAGAGGACCGAAAAATGTGACCTTTTATCAGGTGGCTCACGTAACAGTGGCGTCATCGTACGTCCCGATGAGATTGCAAAAATTATTTTTCATATTTTCGCTCAGAAATTGTACATGTTCGGGGTTAATTTAACAGTGTTTAAACAAACTAATTTGTTTTTGCTAACCTCGTGTTCTTAGGAAAATGGTTTTCGGTTTAATTATCATATATTAATAGTTATCATATTTAAACATTGTGAATTATATTAATTATGTTTAAATTTTATTTAATTATATCGCGAAAATGTATAGCTTTGACCCACCAACTTCAATTGTTTCGAAAATTTATCCAAAATGTAAACATTGTCGACCAAACGAATCACGGAATCCGATAAATTAAAACTGAAGTCGTACTTACCCTGTTTTCGGTCCTTTTCGGAAAAATATCCATTCTCGTTCGTGTTCACAGTACTAATACAACACATTTTCACTAATATTTATTAATAATAAATTAGAAATTCGTGAAAAGGACCCCACTTTTAAGCCAAAACGGACTCTGATGTTGCTGCCACCAAACCGAAATCAAAACTAAACACAGAGGACCGAAAAAAGTGACCTTTTATCAGGTAGCTCACGTGACAGTGACGTCATCGTACGTCACGATGAGATTGCAAAAATTATTTTTGATATTTTAGCTCAGAAATTGTACATTTTCGGGATTAATTTAACAATGTTTAAACAAACTAATTTGTTTTTGCTAACCTCGTGTTCTTAGGAAAATAGTTTTCGGTTTAATTATCACATATTAATAGTTATCATATTTAAACATTATGAATTATATTAATTATGTCATTTCTGCAACTCTTGAGTCACTGTAAAAGCAAATCTAAAAAATATCAATGCAATGATAAATTACGAAAATATACTGATGATATGACGTCATCAAGTTTTTGGGCTTGATAAACAGATATATTTTGATTAAAAACATACCATGTCAAACAGTAACTTCAAAACGTCTGCAATATTTCAAAATTCAGTTTTGCAATTCTTGATTCATTCAATAAAATAAACTGACTCAGTGATTAATTTTTTGAGACATTCCCTATAAGCAAAACTAAAAAATATGAATGGAATGATAAATCACAAGTATAGTCTCATCCTATTTTGGATATTTTAAATGGATTCATTTGGCAAAATTTTGGGCTGACGTCATCAATTTTTTGAAGGAAGTAAATATTATTTTGAATAAAAATGTATTAAGCTTATCATATGTTTAAAACATCTGCAAGATTTCAAAGCATTCGGTTTTGCATATTCAAAATTAAATTGTAGGTGAAACGAAGTTCACGGGGTCAGCTAGTTGTTGATAAAACCGATTCACCTCGGCATCGGCCTAACTGACAAGGAAATAATTGTGACTATCCAGATATCATCTCTGACGACTTAAAAGTGAGTTTATGATTTAATTATGTTCAATCCTGACATTTCAGTAAAGTTAGACAAATGAAAAAAAAAGGTAACGCCCATTTGTTATTGTTTGTTAAAAAAATATATTTTTGCTTCGAAAATTTTTCTCTCTCCTACACTAATAACCCTGTGCGGTTGAGATCCTCATCTTTTTAAAATAAAAAAAAAAAAAGTTTTACAACCAATGTACAGTTGCGGCCCCCCAAAAGTGCAAGATTTTTCGTTGTCATGGAATTTCTAAAATTTCTAAATTAATGTAAGTCTGTTCGGACTTTATTCGAAGATTTTTGGGGGCACGTGACAATATAATTATTATCTACATGTGAATATATTTTATCAGCTAAAATCGATTCCAACAGTTTATCAAAATTACATAACAGAGTGATTGGTTTAAAGTTGCTGACATCAGAATGATCACCTCTCTTAAAGATCGGACATATTTTAGACAATTTCCAGATAGATAGATGGATAATTACACGTTTCTAAGTATGTATAACTGAATACAATGTAGAAAACCAAACGCTTGAACCTGATTTGGACCACAGAATTTATTGCTTTTGATTATCTTAACTGACTTCAAAATATTCTTATCTCGAATCCGAAAAGAATGTAGCACACTCATATTATCACAAAACTTCAAAGGACCGGAGATACAACTTTTCTTGTCACAAAATTTGCAAACGTCATTACCGTTATCACAGGCAGTATCACTTATGTTATTGTTGGAGAAAACACTTGATACGTGACTAGCAAATGGATTTACTGTGCCTTGTGGAGTAGACAAGATGTTATTAGCGTATGTGATTTCAGCTGGTACAACGTGGTTCTTCCTTTTCGTATTTACAAATTACCAAAACTTATTAATATCATGCGTCAGAGAATTTTTTATATTATTCATAAAATTTAAATATTCAGTGCGCATTTCATTTTTTATGACCTTTCTCAGATTCTTGCTTGTGCCTAAGTGAGGCTTTGAATTTTCTAGTGTATTTATTTTTTAATTTAATTTTGTTAATAATGGAGGAGGTGAACCACGCTGGAAAATTAGAATGTTTTTTTTTGTTAGTGGTCATTGGAAAAAACTGACTAAATAGATCATACAGCTTATCAAAGAAATATTTACAAGCATCATTTACGTGTTCAAAGTTTCGTATCCATGTCTAGTCAGTTGTAGCCAGTGCAAAATATAGATCCTGTAAATTTGCTTTATGAAAATTGAACTTTCTCTTATTTGAATTGGACTGAAATGGCATATTATTTTCAGTTGTAATATAACAAGTGATATGATTATTATCGATGATATTTCCAGTGAAACCGAGCTGCAGGTTCAACGAGTGGGAAGCACGAGTTGAATGTGCTGCTTCAGTTTCACGAGCCATATCTTCGATTATTAATCATATCACGAGTTATATTCAACATGACAATATAACAAATGAACGCATTTTTTGATAATAGAGTTGATTTCGTTGTTTTGAGCTTGCCTCCAACGTTGGCAAGCCATAAAAGACAAAAAAATTTATGAAATTCTAAAATTTGTCAATTTGACAGTTTTTAAATTTAGGTAGCAACAGACCACAATAAGGCAATAATATTGAAATTATTATCGCTGTGATAGACATGTAACTAAGGGAATGAACACATTCTGTTGGAAGAAATGGGGTCGTGTGATACATGAATTATATTCTCATGGATAACTGATACTTGAATACTTAGAGAAGGATGATATGTATTTTCTTGTACAAGTGGCAGCTCTTGACGATCTACAGTAACATTAATATTACTTGTTGACAATATTAAATCCAGTATTCTTGATTTACCGTTTAATGCTGAATTGAGTGTAACAAAATTTGACTTTCCGGCAATTATTGTAAGCTGTCATTTAAAGACATCGTTTTTATTGTTTTAACGTTTTTCAAGTGTGAATTACAGTAATTCTCGTTGATCTTAATCCAACGTTTCTCGGTTCGGTTGTTTGATGTAGGTACATACATCAGACAAAATGTGTAGTAAATCACAAAGTAATTAACTGGAAATTATAATATACCAATCTTTTAATCATTTTTGATAAAAAAGGGACAGTAAAACAAAGGCAGGATAAAAATAATAGGAGTATAAATCATGAAAATTTGAAAAAAAAATTAGAAATATCGTCTGTTAAGTTATCACTTATGTTGTATGATTGACAAGGCTAATGGAGATGATAAATCAATCGTTTCAAAACTGAATTAATTGCTTTCATTTATACAAAAATGCATGTTGTGGAAACAATTTTACGATAATTGTGGCTGAAGATATCTTTAATGGTTTGAAAAATATATAAAAGCCACACACATTTATAAACGATTTTAGTTCACTTCTGAACATTTTAGCGTTAAGTTAAATGCAAGGCCTTTTTTGTAAAATTGTCTAACATTTTTAACAAACCATTTATATCAAACTGCTATATTTTGTAATAATGGAAAGAAAAACTGATCGTGGTAGTGAAGTTCAAAACTGGTTGAAAGTTGCTCTAGCACAGGAAAATCTTAAACGTTTCTCAATCGAGATAATCGGAAATTCTGAAAAAGGTGACGGATTCGTGGGAGATATAATTTTCGTTTGTGTAACAGGAACCGACAAAGAAGGCAAAAACAAAGAATACAATCTTGTTTTAAAATGCAGCAAATCTAGTGCTGCCTTAATGGAAAATGCACCTGCTTTTAGAACAGCATTTGTAAGAGAAGCTTACATTTATGAAAACGTTTTTCCATTTTTCAAACAATTTCAATTTAATAAAGGTATCGAAAAACCTTTTGATAGTGTGCCAAAATGCTACGGTGTTTATAGTGATCAATTTAGACATGTTATTGTGTTGGAAAATTTGAAGAAATTAGGGTACGACTTGTGGCCAAAAGCAAAACCATTAACAAGAGGAGTTATCGATACTATAATAAGAGAATATGCAAAATTTCATGCGATTTCCGTGGCTGTGGAAGATCAGTTCCCCGAAAGATTTCAAAAACTGCTTCAAGACTCAACTGAAAATACACTAAAGGAGTTTATGGACAAATCTGGATTTTTAAATGTATTTAAAAATTCTGTGGAAGAGGTATATGATTTGCTAAGGGATGATGTTAAAAATGAGACCTTAGAGGAGTGGTTAAAGCTCAAAGATCAAGTTGGTTTAATTTTTGGTGATATGACACCCAGTGTTGGCGATTTAAAAGTGATAAACCATGGGGACTGTTGGATGAATAATTTTTTGTATAAATTTGAGGTAACTAAAGTAACAATTTGTATTTTAAGGCTAAATTAATTTATTTTATAGGACGAAGAGAAAAACCACGTTTCCAAGTTTGCCATTCTGGACTGGCAACTCTCCAAATTCACATCACCTGCAACTGATCTGTCATACTTTTTGTTCTCCAGTATATCAAAAGAAGATATTACTGACATTGACACTATTTTGAAAGACTATTATAGATACTTTTGCGAGTATTTAAGAAGCCTAGATACCAAGGTTTCGGATGAATATACCATGGAAAAATTTTTTAGTGAATGGAAGAAGTACGGCAGATATGGCGCAGTGTTTTGCATTATACCAATCAAATCTTTGTATTCGGAAAAGGAACACCTTCCAGATGTGGCTGAAGCTGCGAACAGAGGAGAAGATATTATTGAATCGTTTAAATTTGAATTGAAAGATGAAAGCGGCTTTAAAAACAGGTTGAGACCAATTGTTGAATATGTTGTTAAGAATATAATCTAATTTAATGAAACTCATAAATGTTAATTAACAATATTATCTGAATATTTTAGTTATTTAATTGTTAGGAACTTTATAACTATATACTTGTATTTAATTTATCAATTTATCTTTATAATTAAAATAGCTAAAGCGTCGAACAATCATAGACACATGATGTCGAAGATTTGCAAGTTATAACTCATGGTGATAGAACAATTTTTCGTTGTTGTTTGAATGATAAGGGAAACTGAGACGACAAATTAACCATTCTTAAATTGGATTATTTATTAGTTTCAGTTGTACAAAAGTGAACGGTGTGGTTACAATTCGGTTACAATTCTCTATTATGAGTGAAGATAACTTAACGATTGTGCAAAAGATAATACTTTTTTATCGTCATTCTCATCACCATGACATTACAAGCTTTAAGCACTGATATAAAAGCCACACACATTTATAATTGGGTTTAGTTCACATTTAAACAGTTAGTCTAACATTTAACTAAAAGTAGCTCAGGCTGTTTTAATAATTATCTAAACTTTTTGACTTTTTGTTACAATGGAAACAACAACTGAACATGACAGTGATGTGCGAAAGTGGCTAACAATTGCCTTAGCAGAAGAAAATCTTCAAACATTTTCAGTTACGATAACTGGAACTTCTGAAAAAGGTGATGGATATGCGGGAGACATAATTTTTGTTTTTGTAACAGGAACTGATAAAGAAGGCAAGAAAAAAGAATACGATCTTGTTTTAAAATGTAGCAAGCCTAGCGTTGCATTAATGGAAAACATACCTGTTTTTAGACAAATATTTGTGAAAGAAGCTTACGTGTATCAAAATGTTTTTCCAGTTTTCAAAGAGTTTCAAGTTAGTAAAGGCATTGAAAAGCCCTTCGACAGTGTACCGAAATGTTATGGCGTTTATAGCGACGGATTCAGATATGTTATAGTGTTGGAAAATTTAAAAAAATTAGGTTATGACTTGTGGCCAAAAGCAAAACCATTAACAAGAGAAGTTATCAATATTGTGATAAAAGACTATGCAAAATTTCATGCAACGTCAGTGGCTTTGGAAGAACAACATCCTGAAAAGTTTCGAAACTTGATTGAACACGTGGCTGAAGATGTAATGAGGAGTTTTTCAGAAAAAGCTGGTTTTTTAAACACGGTTAAAAACTGTGTGGAAGAGTTGCATGAGCTGCTAAGAGATGATGTTAAAAGTGACATTTTAGAGACATGGTTAAAACTTAAAGATCAAGTTGGTTTTATTCTTAGTGAAATGGAACCTGGTGTTGACGATTTAAAAGTCATAAACCATGGAGATTGTTGGGTGAATAATTTTTTGTACAAATTTGAGGTACGTAAATTAATAAATTTGTATTTTAAGATAAATTTAATTTATACTTTAGAATCAAGAGAAAACAAGCGTTTCCAAGGTTGCTATTCTGGACTGGCAAATCTCGAAATTCACATCTCCTGTGAATGACCTTTCATACTTTTTGTTCGCTGGTATATCCAAAGAAGATATTGCTGACATGGACACTATTTTGAGAGATTATCATAAATACTTTTGCGAGTATTTAAGAATGCTAGATAGCAAGGTTGCAGACAAATATACTGTAGAAAAATTGTTTGATGAGTGGAGGCATTACGGCAGATATGGTGTATTATTTTGCATATTACCAATCAAATCTTTGTATACCGAAAAGGAAGACCTTCCAGACATGGCTGAAGCTGCAGACAGAGGAGAAGATATTAGTGAATCGTTCCAATTTAAACTGAAGGATAAAAGGGGTTTTAAAAATAGGTTGAGACCGATTGTTGAATATGCTGTCAAGAATAACCTAATTTAATAAAGCGTTTAAATGTTATTTATAAATAATCTCTGAGTATTTTATTTGGATATTCCGTGAGTCAGTAACTAGTGACGAGCTTTTTAACGTTTGTTAAGTTAAAATAAAGGTAAATCAAGTTTACTTGTGTTTCATAATTTTGTTGTTATATTTTTTATCATATTGTTACGAAATAAACCCATACACCGCTCCGGTACAAAGCCTGTGGATTTTGTGGTATGTACGACAATGAGAGGTTGTGACTCACCATCGGTGACGACGACGTTCAAATAGAGAAAACCCTGGAAGCGGAAGTAGCATTGTTTCACAAAAAAAAATCATTCCAGTATTTTGCGTGTATGGATAAACATGTACTAGACAGAATTAAAAAAAAACGTAGTTTTGCCTAAAAATTGGACATTCACTGAAAATAATTTTAGGTTATGCCTTTTAAAAAGCTGTACAATTTTGGCTGTAAAATTTTTGATCTCTAAAGAAGTAATAACTAATAACACTTCTTAACAAATATTTTTTTTGTTTCGTGTGAAGCATAAAAACCAAGTTTTTTATTTCATTTTTTGCTCTTGTGTTTATATTAATCGTTAAAAAAATTGCACGTCAAATTTCTGGAGATATATCAAGTATTGTAACATTTCCAAAGAGATGTGAAAGGTTTACGATTCCACCAGGATTTGGTAACTACGGAAAAGAGATGCTGATGGCACAAAACCATGGTGGGGGAATAGTGTTGACCTCTAATTAGGCAAACAGACTTAAATATCTTTTAAAAAAGAAAGTTTGTAAGCAACGCAGTCCACTATTCTTCACATTCTTAAGATAAAGTGGTTAGTAAATAAGAAAGATACTAACTGTCCATTACATACTAATCTTATAATTATTTTTTATATAAAAAAAACATACTATTCAATATAAAACAAAAATAACGACAATTTGTAGAAATTAACATTTATCCTCTTCCGGTATTAAGTAAATCGCAGTTAAAAATTGTTATTAGTTGTTGATTGAATGATAAGTGAAATTGAGATAATACGTCATTTACTTCACTTATACAGAAATGTACGTTGTGACAAGAATTTGTTACAATAATGATTGAAGTTATATTTAAGGATGGTGGAAAAGATAATAAATATTTATCATCGTTATCGTAACACTACAAGTTTTAACTTACTACTCACAGTCATATAAAAACCACACACATTTATAAATCGGTTTAGTTCACATATAAGCAGTCTATCTAATCTTACGTTAAACGTAAGGTTAACATTTTTAAAATTGTTAATAATGGAAGGAAGAACCGATCGGGACAGTGATGTTCAAAAGTGGTTAAAAGTTGTCCTAGCAGAAGAAAATCTTGAAAAGTTTTCAGTCAAAACGACTGGAAGTTCTGAAAAAGGTGATAGATATATAGGAGATGTAATTTTCGTTGTTGTAGCAGGAACTGACAAAGAAGGCAAGAACAAAGAATATGATCTTGTTTTAAAGTGCAGCAAACCTAGTGATGCATTAATGAAAAGTGCATTTGGTTTTAGAAAAGCATTTGTGAGAGAAGCTTATTTGTATGAAAAGGTTTTTCCCCTTTTTAAACAATTTCAAGTTAGCAAAGGCGTAGAAAAACCTTTTGATAGTGTGTCGAAGTGTTATGGCGTTTATCGAGATGAATTCAGACATGTAATTGTATTGGAAAATTTGAAGAAATTAGGATATGATTTGTGACCAAAAGCAAAACCATTAACAAGAGAAGTTATCGATACTATAATATGAGAATATGCAAAATTTCATGCGATTTCCATGGCTTTGGAAGATCAGTTTCCTGAAAGATTTCAAAAACTGCTTAAAGACTCACCTGAAGATACACTAAAAGAGTTTATGGACAAATCTGGTTTTGTAAATATGTTTAAAAGTTGTTGAAGAGGTATATGATTTACTAAAGAATGATGTTAAAAATAATATATTAGAGGAGTGGTTAAAAAGGGTTAAGGATCAATTGGCTATATTTTGGGTGGAATGACACCAAGTGTTGACGACTTAAAAGTGATAAACCATGGATACTGTTGGGCGAATAATTTTTTGTTTCAATTTGTGGTAAGCAAGCTAACAAATTTGTATTTTAAGGTTAATTTAATATATGTTATAGAATGAAGAAAGAACTCACGTTTCCAAGTTTGCGATTCTCGACTGGCAAGTTTCTAAATTCACATCACCTGCGACTGATCTGTCACACTTTTTGTTCACTAGTATATCGAAAGAAGATATTGCTGATATCGACACTGTTTTGAGAGAATATTATACAGGGTGTCTCAGAAATAAGTACATTAATTTTAATCAGTTATAGAGCTCATTGAACTCAACAACTTTTTTTAGTAGAGTTTTGTCAAGAACTTTTTAATTATCAAGTTAAAAATTGTTAAAGTTATACCCCAATTAAGGTTACCCGCCCATGGATCCTCAGTCACCCATGGACACCAATAATTATTATAATTAATAATTTATGGTCAAAAACAGTTACTAGGATACGTATTTTCCTAATCTTGTCAATGTGACAAACATTTAGAGAGAAATTGCTCCCTAATGGCGTACGGAATTTCATCGGCCCAAATGTGGGTGTTGAACACCTTCCCTCGTGTAACCGAGCTCATCAGTTGAAGGTATAAGAGATACAAAATTTGCTTGTTCGTTTATTTTTCTATTAACCCACTCACAAAAGTCTTGCCTACGTGGTAAGTCTGTTAGTTTCAATAACTGAACTTTCTGGTCCTGAAAGGTGTACATTTGTTCTCTGAGTATCCTCCAAATACTACTCTCCGATACATCACACTAGACAGTGATACGTGCTAGTGCCCGGTCGAACTTCGCCACTCTTCAAAACAGCCTCTTCAATATTAGCAATTCTATTACAACGTAACTCACCCCGATCCTGAGATCCAGGTTTAAAAGATCCGTACTCTCGAAAATGCTGCAACGTTCTTAAAACTGCGCACATTTGGCAGACGACGATTTGGGAGATTTTCTGAAAAAATTCGTTGGGCGCGAGTGCCGTTTCTCCGAGCTTCACCGTACGTTAAAACGATATCGGTGCATTCCAGATTTGAAAACAAAGCCATTTCAACACATTTCGTCTATAAATTAGAAATCTGTGCCAAACAAACTTTAAAGAGACAACGTTTAATAACATTGACATAAAAATAATTGTCAGTGTCAAAACGGTTGCTACGGTACCTTCTTCATTGTTGTAGTGTTGCTATTATTTTTAAGTTATTATTTAAGGTGAACATAGACGGCTCGTGAATATATGGGTGGGAAAATTCGAAATTCGACTTGAGTTTTCGAAAAAATGTTAGATAAAAAAGTTGTTCCGTTTCACGAGTTCTGTTACTGGTTAAAATTAATGTACTTATTTCTGAGACACCCTGTATATACTTTTGCGAATACTTAAAATTGCTAGGTAGTAAAGTTTCAGATAAATACACTGTGGAAACATTTTTTGATGAGTGGAGGAAGTACGGCAGATATGGTGCAGTATTTTGCATTTTACAAATAAAATCTTTTTATTCGGAAAAAGAAGACCTTCCAGATATGGCTGACATTGCAAACAAGGGAGCAGAGCTTGGTGAAGCTTTTAAATATGAAGCCAAAGATAAAATTGGCTGGAAAAACAGAATGAAACCGATTGTTGAATATGCTGTTAAAAAGTCCTCGTACAGCCTGTTGTGTTGTAAATTATAAAACACTGGCGAGCTTTTTAATCTTAATTTCAGAGAATCGGTAATTATTTATTAAGTAATATATGGTTGTTTAAAATTCCATCCAATTTAGTCAAAAGTTCTTCGTTTCTATATCCCCGCACAGAATAGGTTCCATGTTTTGAAATACAGGCGTTTATAAAACCTGTGACAAGTTTTTTGTACCTTATTAACATGTACTACCTCAAATGGGTTGTCTGCAATATAGCAGTACGCTGACTTAGAACTATCGAAAGAGTTGTATAAATAAGGTAATTAAACAATTTAAATTTTTGAAACTGAATGTATTTCTCTCAACTGAATTTAGTAAGCTGAGGCAACGATGAATCCAGGATCACTCCCAAAATGACGAGTTTCAGTTCAGTTTTTTAGTTGACGATGGAGAGAAAGAGAAATATTGTTTTTGATTAACTTTTAATGGGTTACTATCGGTTATAGACAGTAAACTTGTCTGTATCTTTTTTAAAATTAGCACAATTATCGAAGATGATTCTAAAATTTTTTAGATTGTCGGTGTAGGTATACGAGAACGTTATCTACAATAGATTTTAATATATCATCAACAAAGAGATTAAACAATAATAGGCCAATGGTGGACCCTTGAATGTCAGTGTTAGGGTCTTGAATAACAGGTATATTTACGGACTCTATGTATAATCAACATGTTAGGTACAATCGGACCGAACTAACGGAATTTTTCTACTAACAAGTGAGTGTCAAAGGTTTTCTTTAAAACGAAAAAATTGGTCTAAAGAGTTTAGACAGTACTTCCCTCGCTCTCGGAAACGTGACGACTGCAAGTCTATTATGTTTTTTTTCGCAGTAGATTTTAAAGCATTCGGTTTTGCAGTTTCTGAATAAATCAATAAAATAAATTTACGCATTCATTATTTTTTTGAGTCACCCGGTATATGCAAATCGAAAAAATTTGAACGGAATTATAAATTACAAGAAGAGACTCACCATATTTTGTACATTTTAGATAGGTTTTATTCAGCAAAATTTTGTGGTGACGTCATAAATTTTTTAGGGGGGATCCGCAAATACATTTCGATCAAAAACTTACAATGCTTATGAGAACTTTAAAACATCTTCAAGATTTCAAAGCATTCGGTTTTGTAGTTCCTGAGTAAATCAATAAAATAAATTTATGCATTAATTAATTTTTCTGAGTCACCCTGTATATGCAAATCCAAAAAATATGAATGGAGTGATAAATCACAAGTACAGACTCATCATATTTTGTACATTCTAGATAGGACTTATTGGGCAAACTTTTGAACTGACGTCATCATTTTTTTGAAGAAGATAACCAAATATAATTTGACTAAAC